GTTAAGGAGCAGAGAGTGATCAAGAATACCAAATGCTGTGCAAAGTTCAATTAGTGATAGAGAATTCTAGATAATGGACCTGGTGGTCTTTGAAGGACCCATCCTTCAAGGAGCTGCCTGCTAAGACCAGGAATGATACGCAACATACCCAAACCTAGAGAGAAGGGACCAAAGAGATTTTGTTCATCGTTTTCCATTTTTATAAAGAATAAGAAAGACTTATGTACGTTTATATGCTGAAAGAAAAGGATCATTGAGACCCTGAAAAAAATGAAGCAAGGTCCCTGGGGAAGCAAGAGGGATTAGCCTCAGACTAGAAGAAGGAGAAGGAAGAAAAGGAATGGAAAGAAAGCCTGCCATTTATAAGGAACATAGATCATCACTGCAAAACCATTTTTCCTTAATTAGAAATATAAATGCAATATAGTTATCCAGGAAGGCTTTCTCTTTCTTTAATAGTACTACTTATCATGTATAAAATCACATAAGTGCTGTGCATGGGAAGAAGTCACTTGAGCTCCAGATCTGTGGTCTTGGTAGAATACCAAGCTTTTCACACACCTTCAGACTGCGCCTAAACATTACCTTAGGTGATACTCGTCACCTGCAGAGCCACAGGGATTGTTAACAGCTAGTGGCCTGACTTGCTGGTTTCTGTGCATACTGATAGGTAAATATTTTCAGTGTCACCATGTGTCACCTCACAGCCTGGTGTAAGAAAAAGCAGGGCCTGGGTGTCAGACACCAAACAGATTGATCTGCCACTTATCAACTCTGCAGACTCAATCAAGTTATGTAACTTCCCTGAGCTTCAGTTTTCCCAATAAGGGTATATAATCCTTATCTTCCAGGATTCCACTGAGGTTTAAATAAGATGATCAATAAGTGATAACTATGATGATGATGACTGTATTCACTTTGTTCTGAATCTCCTAGGAACTGGGTGCTGATAATGAATTGGTGCTTTGCAATAGCTAGCATCTTAATCCCTAAGGTGAATTAAAGAATCAATTCTAGCATTAGGAAGGAATCTTGAAAATCCATATGGCCACCTAATGTTTGCATCCTTTCCTCATCTCAGTGCATATGCAGTTTCCGCCCACAAACTGCCTAGGCTTTATACCTGCTCCACAAATCACTAGCTACTCAACCTTTCTAGGCTTCAGTTTTGCTCTTCAGTGAAACTGGAGTAATAAGAGTATGTACTTCATAGCACTGTTTTGAAAATAAAGGAGAAAACGCATATAATTAAATAAGATATTGTCTCATATAGGCTATACTTATACGTGTTTAGTAATGGGGGCCTATCACCTCCTGAAACAGCACAATCTATTATGGGGCAACTTTCTGTATATTGACCCAAAACCTGTATTCCTCAAACATCCCCATTGGTCCTAGCTTTACAGTCCATGAGAGTAGTTTCACGGAATCAGAATGAGGGTTTCATATAACAGTGTGTTTACACCTTTACTCAGCTTGGCTAGGTGCACTGTGCAGTGTTCCACATATGGCTGGCTGCTTGGGAACACAATCTGGGCTGGACCTCTCAATATTTACATTACTGTGAAAGTGTCAGCCTTTAGTGGTGGTTCCATAATGCAGGAGGCCTTTTCAAGCACTCTAAGTGAGCTGGATGCTACCCAGGAACACACTGGTTATATTGCTTCCAAAATTTATTTTGTGCTTTGTGTCCTAGTCAGTTCAGCACTTGGCACCATACGTAATTATTGCAGGTATCTATATATCCTTTAGGTTCTATTATTGAACACTACAGCCCACCAATGCTCAGAAGACTTCTAGCTGGGTTCAGCTCAGAAGCAGCAGTACTATAAGAGCACTGATATAAAGTCAACAAATTGGCCCCGAAATTCACTCACATCACCCTTCCCTCATCCTTATATTCCCATTAAAAGCTATTGAATCGTATCCAAATCCTTTCAGTAATCACCTCAAACAACTGTCATTCTAGGAAGATCCCTTCCACTCCCTAACAGAAGATTTTTTTTCCTTCTGCGCTCTGCTAGACCTTTGTTTCTGGGATACGTGTTATTTTTCCTGCTAGGCTATAAACTCCTTCCCAGCAGAGGCAGTGCCTTGTACAAAATAAGGCTTACTAAAGAATTAAATTTGGTCTTGAATACAATGGGATGTGGCAGACTCTTCCCACATCACCTTTCACCCTCAGATGGGTCCCCAGATTTATTTTTTTAATTTACAAGGATGCTTTTAAATGAAAAGCTTGAGCAGTCCTGCAATAAATACAGTCTGAAATTTTAGAGCTGATTAGCTGAACTTTTATATAACTGATAACTTTAGCCTAATTTTTGACGTATAAAATACTGGCATAAAGCCTGAATGCTTTTTTTGCTTAATACTGGGGCCCATCACTCCACCTTAAAATAACTACAGGCTTCTTAATTCCAACGCACAACTGCCAGACTCCATCATTATCCCAACTCTGGGAAATGCCTAGTCCTCAGAATTTTCACAGCTGATGAATGGAGAAGCTGATTAGAACCACTGAAGAAAAGTGGGGGGAAAAAAACCCTTGACAGACGCCTCCTTCAAATGTCTGTCCCTTTTATCCAATGTCAACATGAATTTCTAAGTTAACAAATGTTTACTGAGGTCATGACTATGTGTCACACTGTGAGTTAGGCTCTGGGGACTTAATGATGAGCAGTACAGAGTCAATATCAAAGCCCATCATTTAAAAAAAAATCATTCTTACGTTTATTCATTTTACAGGTATATTTATCAAGTGCTTCCTATGGCCAAGGGCATGTAGACAGAATATAAGGTGCCCTGAAGGAACTTGCTATCTAGTTGCAAAAGCAAGAATGAAGCACACAACAGTGTAAGAAAGGATCCGATGGTCCAGAGGAAGGATGCAAACACAAGTGCAGAAAGAACCAATGAGAGTAACATGATCAGGGCAGGCCGACTCGAACTTGAAGAATGTGGTTAGGTCAGAGAAAAAAAAGAAAAGAGACACTCTAAAAGGCAGGGTATGAACAAAAGAGGACACATAAAAATGAGCATGTCATCTTAGAAGGGCAGTGAGATCTGACTAGTACAAACAGAAGGTTCATGTTGGAAAGAAGTAGAAAATAAAGTTGGTAAGTTAATTTGGGGCAAGACTGTGAGGTACATTAAAACCAGGTTGAGAGGCTAAGCAATGGTTGAAGGTGGGGGGGCATGAAAATTATTTGCACTATGGTGCAAAACTAAACAATGCTAAAGTATTGTTCCCGTGAAACAATCCTTGGAAAAGAGTTCTGAGGGAAGAGTTTTAGGAAGGTTGACGTGTTGGAAGTGCTAAGAATGCAGAAAACTCACCGGGCATGGTAGCTCACGCCTGTAATCCCAGCACTTTGGGAGGCTGAGGCAGGTGGATCATGAGGTCAAGATATCGAGACCATCCTGGTTAACATGGTGAAACCCTGTCTCTACTAAAAATACAAAAAATTAGCTGGGCACAGTGGCGCGTGCCTGTAATCCCAGCTACTCAGGAGGCTGAGGCAAGAGAATTGCCTGAATCCAGGAGTCAGAGGTTGCTGTGAGCTGAGATCACGCCATTGCACTCCAGCCTGGGTAACAAGAGCGAAACTCTGTCACACACACACACACAAAAAAAAAAATGCAGAAAACTCAATTACAGAGAGACCAAGATGTATCATCATCCTAGAAACGCTGAGGGCTGAGGGCCTCCAATCCAATGAGGGATAGTGAAGAATAAAAAGGAAATGTGGGGGCTGACTCAGAGAAACCATTAAAAAGAAAGAGTTAATAGGACTTAATACCGCATATTCTCACTCATAGGTGGGTGATGAAAAATGAGAACACATGGACACAGAAAGGGGAGTACTAAACACTGGGGTCTATTGGGGGGAAAAGGGGAGGGCCAGTGGGAGGGGGAGGTGGGGAGGGATAGCCTGGGGAGAAATGCCAAATGTGGGTGAAGGGGAGAAGAAAAGCAAAGCACACTGCCATGTGTGTACCTACGCAAGTGTCTTGCATGCTCTGCTCATGTACCCCAAAACCTATAATCCAATAAAAAATTTAAAAAAAAAAAAATAGGACTTAATACATAGTTTCACAGAGGCAGTGAGAGAGAAAAGAGTCAGCAATGGTTCCTAGATCTCCAGTCTGGGTGATGAAGAGAATGCTAAGGAAAGTCTTTTTATCATAAAAGGAACACGTTTAGAGAGAATACGAAGAAAAGTTTGTTACCAAGCATGTAGTCTTTGGCTTGAAAGCAGGACAACCACCATAAAAAGTCTATTAATTAAGCAAATAGATAATGGGAATGGAGTTTGGATCAGTACTAGAGATAAAGATTTGTATAAAGTAAGGATGGAGAATACCACATTTAAAATTATTTTATTAGAAAATAAAAACACTAGCTATAAAACAAAAATAATAAAAATGATGTAAGTAGTAGAGAGAAATATATCTTCATAAGACTGTTTTTCTCAGCTATGGTACCTAGGGGATCCTACCCATTACCACAACACTGAAGGAATAAGCTTCTGCAGAAATTCAACATATGGCCTATTTACATAACAAGCATCACAACTCCAAATTAGCCATTTTGATGTGTCAAAGAAATAACACCTTCACAGCAGAGTACTTCAAAAAAGGGAATAAAAAAGAAAGGTTTGTTTTTTTCTATAATTATGTTTACTGGGTTTTTAACTATTTGTAACATGAAAATCTTATTTTAATTGTGTGAATTACACTTTAAGGCAAAACAGTGATGAAATGGATTAGTTGAATAATGCACAACCATTCAGAGATCAATAAACAGACCCAATCACTTAAATCTGTTCATATGAGACATCTAATTCTCATGTCTGGTGCCATGCTAGTAAAATCGACTCTTCTGTGCACAGAAATTATAACAAACATATGATTTAATTATCACAGTCAAATGGCAGTAAAAGTGCTACAGAAGATGACTAGGAAAGAAGTACTATGAAGCAGTGACTAAGCAGTACCTGTCGAGTGCACACAAAACACATTCCCCTCTTGTCGTCCAGTGGGATAGGTGGTAGCAGCTTAGATCTTACCAAGAGCAACTTCGACTTTTTCCATCTTATCCAAACTGTAACCAGAAGTTCTTGTCCTGGCTCACCTCATAAAATGCTGATTAAAACTGTATAAAATAATAGAATGAAGATCACCTATGCTCTTCCAACATACAACCATTCATGAATATTCATTATGAATGATAGCACAATTCTGATCGCAGACTGAGAAACTGACAAAAATTTGGATCCAAAGTAAGATATTTCTAAAGCTTAACTTCCAATGTAAAAGACGACCATTTACATGATAAAAGGAGTCCATGTAAATGCTTCAGATTGGCATGCATTTAAAGACTGCAACGGTGTGACCTAGGTATTTTCTTTTCCTGATCCTTATGGTGTGGTAGAGCAGCCTCACAAGCCCACAGATACCTCTCTCCACAATGGCCTCATGAAAATCAATTCATGCAGAGAAACTGTTTACTGAAGACTTTCATTAGGGGGCTCCCTTAAACAAAATGAATACAAAAAGAGTCTTGATCATTTTGCCTGTCTAAATGAGCACATTAAACTAAGTTGATTCTTAGAAAATCATTTAATATTTTCAGGGATTAAAGAAAGAAAATTGCCAATTAATACACTCTTTTCCCAGATGTTCAGTTTTTACTAACCTCTTTATTCTCTGTATTCAAGTGGTTGTGTTTTTATGCAAATTATCTTTTGGGGGGCTAGTCTCTAGTTTGTGTGTCTGTGTGTGTGTATTTAAAGCCACACCGATACAGAATTTGACATATTTTCTGTTCTGCTGCTCCATACCATAGGTTAACACGGCTTGAGCTTATTCCAAAACTCTAATTAGAAACTGCAGTATTTCCCTTGTCTAAAAACCATTCCCAAAGTTGATTTTTCCCCAGTTAAATTAAACGAATAATATCATACACAGATATTTTAAACACGACAGTTACTAGATAAAACTGCCCCATCTAGCAACACATTGCTTTCTGGTTAAGCAACACAATTTCATAAGGCCTATCAAATATTTTATCCAGACGCCCACTCTATTTTCAGGGTATCGTTCAAAACAATTAGTTGCATTACTTGAAGCCTTTTTCTTTTCCCAGAGAGAAGAGGATTCTGACTTCCTGTCCTTTTCCCTGCCATATTAGAAATTTGCTTAAACTCTGGAAAACAGTACCAATCAAAGTGGTAATGAATCCTTCCATTAAGACAAACTAAAGATGTTAAAAAGATACATGACCTTACTCTTTCAAGTACTGGTATAAAACCACTTTCTCTGCACAGGTTCTAAAATCTCAGAGTCGTCTGTCTTAAAGTCTGTGGGCCTGTGAGGGGGCCGGTACATATTTTAATATTAAAAAATGAGCAAAGAGACTGTGTTTGAAGTTCAAGGATTTTCACTAGTTCTCAAGCTACAAACCCTGTAATACAGTCAAAAGAAAACGTACAGAATCTTTCATGAACGTGTCAGGTCTCCAAAATCCTAACATCCGCTAAAACCAGGATTGCGGGGGTCCTGAGAAGCTCGTGAAGTTCACAAACACAGCAATCCCGCGGGAACCCGAAACCTCCACTCGCAAAGACGCGACGCTACCGCCGCCTCCCCGCGCAGATGAAGACTCGGCCCTTCAGCCCAGCGTGTCCGGCAGCGCGATCTTTCAAGCGCGCTGGAGTCCAGCGGGAGCTCCTCCCGCAACAGCCCAGTCTCCGGATCGGGCCCGCAACCCGCGGACTCCGCCCCCACCCTCCCCAGATGCGGCGGCGCTACCGCTTCGTCCCGCGGTCCGGGCGCTCTGCGTCGGCTCCCACCACCTCCGCCCGCCCGCTCAGCACGGACGCCGACGCATCCAGCTCCCGCCGGGCGCCAGGGGTGCGGCGGTTCCCAGGGCCGCGGCCCCCGTAACCGGCTGGGATCCGAGGGCCGGGTGGTACCGGCTGACGTGGGCTTTGCGGCTCGGGACCAGAGGGTGGGGGGCGGTGGGTCTCCCTCTGACTTAGGAAGGGACCCGGGGCGCCCGCGCGGGAGGAGGGCAGGCGAGGCACCGGGGCCGCGGGTGATTCAGATCCGGGGCGGGCGGGTCCACGTCTGAGCGCGGCGGCCACACGCTCGCCCGGGCGCGCCCCTGTACGTCCCAGCCGGCACCTCCTCCCGCTAGTCCGCGCGGGCCAGAGAAAGGAAGGACTGCGACCTCCGCGTCCGGTCCGCGCTGCCAGCCCGCGTCGGCGCCGAGCGCGGGCCACACCCAGCGCCCCGGGAGGCGGCGGAGCCTGGGCTGCCGCGGCTGCGGAACGCTTGGCCCAGCCGAGTCTCCCTCCCGGACTCGCAGGCCCCGCCGCGTCCGCCCGCGTCCCGCATCCCCGGCCGGCGCCGCGTGAAGGCGAGTCCCGGGCGGCGGTGGCTGGGGGGCCCGGGCTTACCTCAGTGCCGAGCGCCGGCCGCTCTGTCCCGGGTCGGAGCTGGAGCCAGGGCCCGGGAGCGCGGTCGCCAGGGGAGGCGGCGCGGTAGTGGCGGCCCCTGCTGCTCGGAGGGCGGGCCGAGCGGGAGCCGCTGCCTGGGCCGCGCGCGGTCCGGAGCTCGCCCCGCGCTGCCGGCGCTAGCGGCGGAGGGCGCAGCCAGCTCGGCCCCCGGACTGGATTCCTTCACTGACACAACTCCGGCTCGGCCGCTCCACGCAGGGACACTCCCGCCCCTCGCTGGCTGCCCCCGCCCGCCGGCCCGCCCGCCCCTTGGTGTCACTCACCAGGCACACACACCCCAGCCGGCGCCCCTCGCTCCCGCTCGCACACACAGCGCTGCTCACGCCTCTCTCGGGTTTTGTATCCGCTCACACGCACGTTCTGACACAGATCCCGTCCCTCCACACGCCCTCCCTAGCTTCTTTCCCACCCCACTTTCTAGAAGAATCCCCGTACAGCTTCCGCACTTTGCTTGCTTGCCCCACACAGACCTCCTAGCTTTTCCCCAAACCTCCTCTTCACCGAAACTCCCCGTTATTGAAAGATTTTGTCGCAATCTGCACGTGTTGCAAGAGAATCATCTTCTCCTACCCGAGAAAATGAACTTTGCTTCCCCAGCGCTGTCTGCAAATACGAGACGCTTCTCCTTTTAGGAGGTAGTAATGCTTTCTGGAGAGGAGCCAAACTCAAAATGTAAACAAAGATAGCCCATTCGAAAATGACCTGAAAAATCAGGCGCGGAAAAAGTGCTGGGGCTCCGTCTGCCCTTAGAAACCCGGCCAACCCCGGGTGTTCCGCCTTCTCCCCTGTGCTGCGGGTCTGCACTCTGGGCTCCAAACGTGTGTGTAATAACCAAGTTAACATGGGTACCGTGGGCTTCAGCCGTGGGTTACTGCCTAGGAGTATAGTAGTCGAGAGAGCAAAAGCAGTTTCTCAATCATTATTCATGATGGAAGCACTTTAGATAACACTCCTCTTCCAGAGGCAGTAGAGTGAAATGCAAGCAGCTCTACAATTCAGTTTATTTATTTATTTATTTTTAAGGGTGACTTTTTAGCTTCCTTTTTTTTTTTTTTGCTATACCAATAACTGTTTCTGAGCGGCTCCTTGGCTGTCAAGCTCCTTATAAATACCAGACCAGAGTCAGTTATGCCTCTTGAGCCCCACACTCTTATGGTCCCACGAGGGCACAGCAGAATCGTACATTATCCGATGTTCAGTAATTCATAATTTGAAATAAAATACAAACACCTTTCGGATAAAGTTCCAATCTGCTAATATAACGTGGCCCGGTGAGCCCTGTTGACAACACACTGCTGAAATAAGAAAAGAGAGGAGCTAAAAGGAAAGGAACTCATTTTCTTATGTGACTTGGAGTGGTGGTTCTTGCCGTCATATGGTCGCCTTGGACTGGTGTGTGGATCATATAATTATTTAACAGACATTAGCAAGTGCTTTATAAGTACTACCTCATTTAATACTTTAAAGGACCCCATCAGTAGGTACTATTTTTGTCCTGTTTTACAGATAATGAAACTGAGGGCTGCGCACTGTGGCTCATATCTGTAATCCCAACACTTCAGGAACCCGAGGTGGGTGAATCTCTCGAGCCCTGGAGTTCACGACCAGCCTCGGCAACATAGTGAAACCCCAAAACAAACAAATAAATAATCATAGTAATAATTAGCCTGGCGTGGCGGTGCCCGCCTGTAGTCCCAGCTACTCAGGGGGCGGAGGTGGAAGGATCACCTGAGCTGGGGAGGCTGAGGTTGCGGTGAGCCAGAATCACACCCCTGCACTGTAGTGCGGGGAAGCAGAGCCAGAACCTTTAAAAGAAAAAAGAAAAAAAAAAAAAGCAAGAAACTGAGGCATAGAGAGGCAAAATAAGTTGCCTAAGTTTTTAGTAAGTGGTAAAGGAAGGATTTGAACCTAGACAGTTAGACCCCACCTGTGCTACGAAGAGGAAAGCTTGCTTCCAGAAGCCATGCTACACATAAAGAACAAACATCCTATTGCTTATTAAATTTAGGTGTAATAAGTAACTTAGGGCCATTTGACTTGAAATTTGATGTACTTCTTAGGTCCTCTGGCTAAATAATTTATTTACATTTTTGGGAGGTTTCCTCCATAATTAGAATTCCAAAATGAATAATAAACTACAATTTTTCCTAGGAAGGGCTTTGGAAATAACACTGAATTCAATCTTCATTTTTCTCTTCCACCACTTCATAATCTTCCCATGACTCCAAATCTAACTTGCTTAGTGAAGTCTGACAGAAAAATGCTTTCAAGAACTGAATATGACCAGAGGGAAGAAAGGGTTTTAAGAAAACCATATACAGCCTTTATAATAGAAGGCTGCTTCTCAGCAAGTACTGTAGATAGGAGCTATAAGAATAAATGCTATATATGTTGAGAGCCAAGATGTTAAAGCAGTGGATCGATGAAAAAACAGAGACTAGGAAGGTAGGAGTAACCACTGTACCACAGACTAGGCTAAAACTAATTCTCTACTGGGAGTGGAGGCCTAGCCCATGAAAAGACAAGTATAGAATAACTCCAAAGAAAACAATTATATCTTTCAAGTGTTAGCTAAGGGGCCCAGCAAAAAAAAAAAAAGAGTTTTAAAAGTTTTACAGACAGTGAATTTCAAATCAAACTTGAACCTTTTGCTGTTCAATGTAATTTATTCTGAAATAATGAAAACTTCTGTTTCTGGTTGGATTTAATATGCTTATTGAAACATGTAAAAGCTTCTTGCACATCATATGACTAACAAAGCAGTGTTTTTCTGAGTTAGGCATAAATGATTTTTAAAATATGCATTACATTCCTTTTATTGTATGGAGATATAAAAGTCTGAAGAAATAAAATGTGAGTAAGACATATATTGGTGTTTTCACCAAATGGTGAAACTATTTGAAAAATTACACTGTTTAAAATCTTGATCTATGTAATGCTAGCTTGACTATATTGTTCAAAATGATTCTCTGTGATTGCAATCCATAAATCACATTTTACTATTTTCTAAACGAAATGGAAATGTGAAAGTCTTTTCTTAAGCAAATGAAACAAGAACAATAAGAGCAGATGTTTTCTGAGAGATCAACAAGGTATGTTCATTTATATTTTTTAACATTTTCATATAGGTAATTTTAATCTGTATGTACTGCTCTCCTCCATATTGTCACCTATGCTTTTTATTAGGGTGCTTAATTGTAAGCATGGAGAAACAACACCATGTCTTTCAATAAGGCTGACGTTTTTCTTGCAGTATTGACTTCTGCAAAATGCCATATTCCCTGCTTGCCACCCCTAGATTGTGCCAGGCTCCTGATTCTCTAGGCATGATCGTTCAGAGCAGGGCTCACAATTGTTGATATAGCTCAGGTCCTGGAAGCCTGTTTTATGCCATGATCATTGTGTCTATTAGGATTTTGGTATCTGAATAAGTAGTGGAGACAGAGAGGAATTTTAGTTTCTGGGCTCCAGATCACTAGGCAATGTTCAAACCTGTTGGGGAGGGCATCTACCATCTAGGATCTTGGACATTGTGTGCAGTGACTGAATAGAATCTGGGTTATTTTCCTTAGGGAGGGGATGAATATGTGTTTTGCGTCTGTGAGTGTACCATCCAGTAGGGCTGTTCACAAATATTCCAGCTCTGCTGCCTTCGAACCACATGATGAGATTGCACTTCCCACCTGATGAAACTATACTATAGCCCTGTGAGTTGCTTCAGCCAATGAAAGGTGGCTGGAAGTGATGAGTATCACTCTGGGTCAGAAGTTAAGAGCTGGGACATCAGTCACCACATTCTCTTTTCTTCCTAGTGCTGCAACATCAAGGTGCATGGTGGTGGCTGCTCCATCAGACTGGAGTGAGTGACAACAATGAGCTATGCCATCCCTGCTGAGCATTAATGGACATGTAGTATGATCCAGAAATAAGCCTTTGTTGTTCTAAGCAACTGAGATTTGACGGCTGTTGGTTTCTATGGTGTAATCTAGCCTATTCTGATTAAAAATAGGAAGGAAGAAAGAAACGGATAATTACGGGGTACACCTTGGCAGAATATGGCTAATTATTCCCTTTCCTTCTCAGCACACAATAAATTCACATTTCCTAGCTTCCCAAATTGTTAGGTGAGCCAGGGACCAAATTCTCACCAATGGAATATAGGTGAGAATGTTACACTCCCCTTCCAGGCCTCATCCATGGAAAGCCTTCCACGTGATCTCTCTTCCTCATGTGCCATGTGGAAACTAAGGACCCTGAGACT